GGGGGGGGGGGGGGTTACTTGATATCTTATAGATTAAAGATTTAATTTTAGAGACATTTTTTATATTATAGTTATATGTATTGTTTTGATTTTCTCTAAGGTTAAATATATTAGTCAATCAGTTATTAGTTTGATAAATAAAAAATAAATAAAAAAAACAAACAAACACGGATTTTTTTTAATTAACATGCAGTAAATTTTATTTGTAATTTTTTTGGTTCTCAATAAAATATGTAATTATATTTTTTATAGAAAATTAACACTTATTTAAGAATATAATGTTGTTTTTCTAAGGACATTGAGAAGGTTATTAGAGTTAACAAAATATATAATGTGTATTATTCTAAAAAGAATTTACTTGTTTATTAAAACTTTATAATTAAGTCTCCCGAGTATTTAATTATTTTTAAATTAAAAATAATAATAATAAGCCAAAGGTTTCTTAATTTTTTATTATTGAAAGAAGCAGATTAGGGAATAAAATTATTTATTAATTTCTTAATTTTCACTGTGAAAAAATATTTAGTAAAAAATAATTATTAAATTACAAGATATTATTTTAATTTTCCAAAGTATACTTTTATCTATATTTTAATAATTTTTAAACATGTAATTCTTAAGTTTACTTATGAGTACATGTGTGTGTGTGTGTGTGCACAACTATATAAATTTAAAGGTATAATTTTCTAAAACAATAAATTTTTAGAAAATAAAAAATATTTTCACATTTAAAATCCTATATTTAGAAATTTTTAATCTATTATGCATTATTAAAAGAGTACTTCTGCAAAATATTGATGATAATAAAAAGGTAGCATCAATACCAGCAAAGCTGTAAACAATTACATATCCTAAACGTTTCTTAAATCTAAGCTAAAAACTTACCAAAGACTTAGAAGAATTTATGAGAATGAATATTATTTAGGATTACGTAAATGTAGATTGTCAACCCCAATTTGTATATATAATTTATGTAATCTTTGAGTAAATCGTATAATCGAGTACATGGTTTTTTAAAAAAAAGGACCAAAACTTTGACTGAAAGAGGATTGATGAAGTCAATGGTCAAAGCTTTTGACATTATCTATCTAAACAATCTTAAGATTGTTCACGTTGATGAGAGTAGACTTTTTTCCCGCAGTAAATTTTGTATGTAGTAGATTTTAAAATTAAGTATTTTTTCAACTATTTTAATATAAAGAAAACTTCACAATATGATTGGTAGTACTAGACAACATACAAATCTACAAAGGGAGACTAATGAGTTGTCTTAATGTTGAAAGCAATAAAAAGTTATGAAAACAAGGAGCTAAAACAAGATGAATATTTTAAGAAAGACGAGATGTTGTGGGCTAATGGTTTTTAATTGATTGGTTAAAATGGTGTGACAAATAATATTCCGAACCCATAATTTAAATTCGGGATGACTAAATTCATATCAATAAAATATTAAAAATTTTAATTTTAATTTTTCTTTTGATTTTTTGAAGAAATATGCATTTTATATGTAAAAATTATGGTCAAACTGAAAATAAGAAATGACATATTTGAAAGAAGAATCGAAAATAAAAATTAAGAGTTGGAATCAAACTTCAGGACCCATTATCTTCAATTGTTTGACTAGTGAGAGGGTAGCAATTTGAGGGACTAAATTTTCTTGAGGGGAATAGTTGTAACACCTCAGTCCGGAATTTAGGCTCGGGATGGCTAAATTCATATCAATAAAAATATTGAAAATTTTAATTTTAATTGTTCTTTTGATTTTTTTTTAATAAATATGTATTTTGGATGTATTTGAAAACAATTTCCAAAAGTCATGGCCAAACTGAAAATGATGAATGATATATTTGAAAGAAAAATCGAAAAACAGAGGTCAAATCATAAAAAAAGGAAATGCGACCATGTGGGATGGCCAAGTCGGCAGCACGACGAATCATCGTGCGCCACATGTCGAACATGCTAGCATGGTTCTACGCGGGTGATCCACATACCAGGCCGATCGAATGGCTTAGGGCCCCTCTCCCCCGCATGGATAGTCAAGATCGATTCTCCAAATAGGCTTAATTAAACGGCCCGTGTGCTAATGATCGGACGGTCCAGATTAATTTTTTCTTCAGGCTCAATAGAACGATCCTTGATGCTCCACGTATCCCTATACAGATAACCCAGATCGAAGTCGAGGAGGTATTTAAACGTCATTACCCGACTCCCTAAAACCTTAGCCGCCGAGACCATCAGAGAAGAAGAATAAGAAGAGCGGCCGAAAAACGAATCAGTCGTCGGATGAGAGGAAGCCGGCCATCGTCTTTGCTACACCAGAGACCAAATTGACTGGGAAAGGTGAGTTTTTTCTTTCCATTTGCTTCGTTTTTCAATTTTAAGCCACCCCAAACCTTTATCAACACCGAAAAACTAAAAGAGAAACCAAAAACAAAGGGCGGAGCTCGGCCAAACAGCTGTACCCGAAACCCAAAACCCCTCTAGTGAGATTAAATCCCCTTTTCGTTTCCTTATATTTTTCAACCATTAGTTTCCTAACATGTTTTCGGTGTAGGGCAACCCAAGAAAATTCGTGATTGCGAGGGAGAAAAGGCAAAGCCGCCATGCCGAAACCCCAAATCGTTGGTAAGTTTTGTTTTTTCTCTTTTCTCTACTAACAGAGGTCATCTAACCCCAAATTTTATAAATGTTCGCACAGAACTAGTTGAAACTGCCCTGACCGAGAGAAGGAAACGTTGTAAGCAGTAGAGCCGGCGCCATCGCAATGGAACCCTAAATCGGTCCTGGGAAAATTTTAAACCCTTTTAGTCATTTTTTGAGTATTTCTAGGATATTTTACGTGTGTTTTTGTTTTCACAGAAAAACTCAAGAAATCAAAAAATGAGGAACCGCTAGGAAGTGCGTGAAAAAGGCAGTGTTCTGAACACTGACCCAGGGTAGGAATCTCTCATCATTTCTTCCGTTACGGTTAATTAAAGTCTGCTAAATAATAAATTAAAAAATTTTAAATATTAGCAACTCCTGATTAATTAAATACAGGTCATCAATTGAGCGAATAACTAGTTAGTATATAATTGCTCTAGCTTATGTGTGCTACTTATTTATTGCTATACTGTATTATTTGCTTACCGCGACTAAATGTATTTTAATTCATTAGTTTTAATTGCTTTCTCGTTTATTAGTTTACTCAACCGTTTTATCCCTATCAGTTAACTGGTTTGAATGAATGTTTTATTTTTGCCTTCTTTAAGTATCGACTATTAAATTATATTGCCTCTTTAATTATCGTTCTATTATGAAATGAGATTATTGTATATAATTGGAGGCTAAATGATGATGTGGATATGTATGTGTTAGTTAATGTCATCAAACTAAAAGACTTACTAAGTGTCATGGAAAATGGTGTACGGATCCGATATATAAGAAAAATCTTACCGTGGACATTACCCTTAGTCGAACGGGACTGAGAAGTCCCTTACCGAAAGGGGTTGAGAAGTGTTTTGTTCACGCTCATACCGGATGAGGTATTAAGGCGAAGGTACATTTGGTGCCCATTACCAGACGGGGTGTGGAGATGATCGATTGATTAATAAAATGGATATTGGGTCCACGTGTAGTGGAAACCCCTATGGACCCCAGCGACACTGGTAAATAAGTAAAAAAAGTAAAGTTTGATTATTGTTGGTCTCTTATAATGTCTAATGTATTGCTATCTTGGTTCTTTCTTTTATAAGCGGTATTTGAGAACTTAATATGAAATTAATGTTTTCAAGTTAAATGAATTTACTTAAAAGGAAAAAAATAGATTTACCAATTTTTAGTTTTCTGTATCGGTAGTAAAGTGTTGACATTCTTAGTATAATAGTGTAGTTCATCCTTTCCTTTTATTAACCATTTCAGATCGGGACAACCAAGATCCGGATCCTAAGTAGCAAGAAAGTTAGCAATTAAATGTTGCCTCCCGTTTTCTACCAATTACGCAGCGGAGATCAATCACATAGATTTCTAGTTTATACTTTTCTTTCTTTTATCTTAATTTTCTTCAAAAGACATTTATGTACTCCTATTGGGCATTTTGATTAAATTGTGTAAAAAATGTAAACTCTAAATTCTGAATTGCTTCTGCTAATATCTTATAAATTTTAATATTATTATTTAATATGAATGTTTGGCCCTTTACATGATAAGAGTTTGAAATTCTCTCACCCTATAACTATTAAACAACAACACAATAACCTCATTAATAAATTGAAGAATAATGGAGATAATGGATTATAAATCATTAAATGATTGAAAAAATTTTGTAACACATTTCTAATGAGTTTTTTCTCAAGATGGTCGCATATGTAGTTGGGATGTATTGAATATAGTGGAAACAAAAATTATTATATATATAAATGCAAACCTGTTACAAACATACACAGTAGATGACGACTATACAATATTTATGCAAATACATTCTATCAAAGCACTGGCCTTGATGATATGTTCCCAATCTTCTGCAAAAAAATTTGGCATGTTGTTCTTATATTCTTGTTATTTTATATAATGGGCTATCCACCTTCCATAAATCATAACTTTATTGCACTTGTTCCAAATTTGATCAACCAAAAACTCTTTTAGATTTTTGTCATATTACCTTATGTAATATTACCATGAAACTAGTCACTAAGTGTATAACAAATTGTGTTAAATTATTTATCAATCACAATTTACTTTTGTTCCTATATGTTAAATTACTGATAATGCATTAATTGCTTTTGAATTGTTTCATCATATAAAAAAAATCAACTCAATCTGGATAAGGATTCTTTGCACGTAAACTAAATATGAGTAAATTAAGTCTTTTTAAAAATAATAATTTACAAATTGAGGAGACTTTTTGTTTTATTAAGAAGTTGAAGTTATGAATATATGTCATTTGAGTTTTTTATGTAGTTCATATATATTACATCTAAGCTTTTTTAAATAATTTATTTTTTAAACTTAATTGTAGTTTATGAATTAAACTTAATTATAGTTTATGAAAGAAGCATTTACGAAAGAGGAAAGCTTTGTGTAATTACATAAGATGGCTCATGTGTGAGAAGACAAAGACAAAGGACACACAAAGCCAGCCTGTGTATGTGACTGTAGAAATAGAAGCTTGTGTGATTTACGCAATTCAAGATGGTGACTCTTTGTGTGATTGTGAGGAAGAATAGGACATTGAACTTGTGAAGGTGGCTAAAAACAAAAGACCACAATGAGGTTATAAAAGGAGTAAAAAGGCCTGATGTGGGGAGGTAAAAAGAGTAAAAATAAATGTTAATGTGGCATTACGTGTTTGTTCATGTGATATTCATATTAGTAATTTTAAAATTGATTAACACGTGACTTGATACGCGTCTTTCTATTTTAGCACATCCGAACGACATAAGAGAAAATTAAAGAAGAAAGAAAATTTTGTTTATTATTTAAAAATTTGAAAAAAGAAATTTGAACAACAAAATATTTACGGGAAAGTTTAAATACTATTATATAGTTTCAGAGTGTATTTTGATATTTGAATTTATTAAAATTATTTATAAGAATATATAATAATATTATTGGGGAGAGAGAGAAATGTAAAAAATTAATAGAGAAAACACAAGTATTAGAACCAATTTTTATAAAATTAGGCAAAATTAGTTAAAAGTTGACTTTCGTATTTGTTCTTAAATAAATTGATTCAAAAAACGATTATCTTCTCCTAAATAAAAAAATAAAAATAAAAATTAGATACCACAAAAGTTTTTAAAATAAAAACTAAGATATTTAAATAAGAGAATAAAAAGTGGTTGACATGACTCAATAAAATTTCATGTCATGAACATTCAGATTCTCTTAAATGGCTTGTCGCATAATACTCAAAACTTTTAATAATGGCCTAAGGAGTCTTTTCCTCCTCCTTTTTTTATTTTTTATTTTTTTCCATTTAAAGGCTCCCTTTCGAAAAATTACAATTTCTATTCTATATCACGACCGTGACCCCAT